CCTTCTTTTTTCAAGAGAAAACAATTTGAGAGATTTCAATCTCTCCTCGTATGACAACCCCCTCCATCCCAGGCGCCATTCTAGTAACCATCCTCTGAAACCTTTCCAACAATTCAATGTCCTTCCTAAGGTAAGGAGCCCAAGACTGAACACAATATTCTAAATATGGCCTAACCAGTGTCCTGTACAATGAAATTATAACCTATTTAGATTTGTATTCAATATTTCTATAGATACAACCTAAAATCCTATTTGCCCTACCACTAGCAAAAGCACACCGCTTGGATAGATGGCTTTAGAGACTTATCGACTATTACACCAAGATCCCTTTCCTTCATAACACTGTTAAGGTTATTCCCATCCAAATTATACTTATAATTCATATTATGATAAGCCACACACATTATCTTGCATCTATTATAATTAAAACCCATCTGCCATTTATTTGCCCAACTCACTAAATGATCTAAATTATTTTGTAAATCACCAGCATCCTCTTCATAGCTAGCAACATCCGAGACCTTGATATCGTCTGCAAATTTAAGTAATTTATTGACTATTTCTTCATCTACATCACTGATGTAAATAAAAAAGAGCAAAGGTTCTAAGACTGAGCCCTGAGGTACCCCACTTGTGGTATTAATCCATTTTGTCTGAACTATATTAGTAACAACCCTCTGCTTTTTTCCATCCAGCCTATCTTCTATCTAATTTGCTAACTTATCCTACACGCCTATAGAGATAATATTTTACAAGCCTTTTATGTGGAACCTTTTCAAATGCTTTCTGAAAATCCATATACACCGAATCTACACCCTTACCCTCATCTATATAAGCAGTAACCTTTTCAAAGAATGTTAAAAGATTTGTACGGCAAGAATTCCCCTTAATGAAACCATGTTGACTATCCAAAAAGATTCTAAACTTTGTTAAATGACTTTGCAAAGCATCTTTTAACAGACTTTCCAAAACGTTTCCCACAACAGATAATTACTGGGTCCATTTTTATCACCTCCCTTGAAAAAAAGAGTTACATTAGCTTCCAATCCTCTGGTACCTGTCCAATATTCAAGGACTGACAAAAAATAGTAGTAAGTGGTTCACATATCGAATCTTTAACCTCCTTCAAAACCCTTGAGGAAATATTATCTAGCCCAGGAGCCTTATCGTTTTTTAAACTTCCCAGTTTTTTTAACAAGATCAGAATTAATGCAGTTATTTTGTTTGATCTGGTTTCCATTTACCAACTGTTCAAGATGTGGAATACTGCTTAAATTTTCATTAGTAAAAACCGAAGAAAAAACAAAATAACAACATTTAGAAATAAATTCAACCAAGTTAATAAACAAATGCCTGGCCATAACTTCACACCAATATTAATAAATCAGTAACAACGGAACCAGAAAAAAAGAGCCGGAAAGAAAATACCTAATTCCAAAACAATACATTAATTACAAAATTCAAACAATACCTTTCAGTATCACTATCGATAACAACATCGAGTGACAAACAACAATAACTATCTCGTGACTATTTGTAGTATTAATATGTCTTCTCTTAACCAATATGCACTACAGATATTAAAAAATGGCTTTTATATTGGTTAATTTTCTATCCAAGAGACTGGGAGTGAAAAGCTACTGCTTCTTCCTTGTTTATGTCGACTTGTTTTTAGCAACATATTATCTACTTCATGTTGAAGTTGGTGTAAAACTCATAAATATTTTAAACATTTTCAAATATTGCTCTTGTATAGAATATAACCATAAAACATGAAAAACCATACAATTTCAAGAAATAATAATATTTGTACAGTATTTAAGCAAAAAAGCGACCTCTAATGGAAACTCTAAACGGCCTCTTTTCATGGGAAGTCATTGAGCTAGGATTTTGTGAAATGGCAGAGGTGAATTATAAACAAGATATGCCTCCGAAAGGAGGGTATGCACCTATTGTTTTTCAAAATATTCCAGTAAAAAAGTATTTTAATGGTCAGTATATTTTAAAATTCAATATTACTAATACTATTATGTAGTTTCAATTAACACTCGAGCTATGCGAAACATAGTAAAAAAAAAGTAGTTGGGCTATTGAAGTATTTCACCGCTGCAATTTCAAAGTTAAACTAAATTTTATTATTAAAGTTTAACTTTGTTTTCTCAGTATTTGACACGATTTATACTGATACTGTAATACTAATGGACTACCCATGTAATGTTTATTTTCTACCGTCTATTCTGTGTTGTTTGTATTATAAATATATATAACTATAACTTAGATTTCATAGATTTGAAAACATGTTAAACTTGAAATTAAAAGATCTTTTAAATTTTAGTTTTAATATCGTCGTTTGTGAATAGAAGGTAAAATAAATATTAGTAAAACTGTTATGAATAGCTATTTCATATGTGACTATACTCATTTTATTTTTGTTCATGTTTTATGTTGTTATGGTATCAATAATTTTGCTATGACCAGAATGGATATGACACATAAAAATTAATTGGAGTGGAATATGGTTTTAAGTTCACATGGTAAGGCTGTGATTGTTGACAAAAATAACACCATACACTGATGAAGATAACATTGGCCCTTCAAGGCTATCCCTGTACCCCCCAAGGAAATTCAAAATGTGAACCACCTTTATTTTCGAGGAAAGATTCCCCTCTTAACTCTTGTGAGGTGCTGCTGATAGCATCTCATTCCATAAGTTAATCACTCTGTTGCAAAAGTAACTGGAATCTGTTCTGTTTTTTCCAAACTTCAAACCTGTGTCCTCTCATTTTGTTGTCTTTAAAATTCAGCCCAAAGAAATCAAAGCCCTTTATCCTATTATTCCCTTTAGTGTAAACTTTAATAAGATCACCCCTCAACTATTTTTCTCAAAAGGAAAATGAGGTCTTAAACTATTCCCATAAGAATCTTGCTGATAGCCCTCTTCTGAACCCTTTCCAACAAGTCAATATCCTTTCTTAGATAAAGCGACCAAAACTATATGTAATATCTCGTACGAGACCATGCTAGTGCTCTGTTTAAATTAATAATTACTCCCTTTGACTGCTTTGACTTACACTGCTTTAAAATTAGCAACACAGAGTATTACCTTAACGCCATGAATGATTTTTGCTATGCTTTGTCGAGGTCCTTTTCCTCAGTTCTGCCTTTGAGTGGATTTTCATCTATATAAATGTGTGATCCAAACTGTTATAACTCAAAGGTATAACTCTTCACTTAATGTAATTAAAGGTCATTTACCAACTATTTGTTAAACTGACCAATCGATTCAAGTCTTGACGTAGTAACGGCAATGTCTCCTGTACATTTTATAATAGTTTAAGAAGGGAATCAATTTCCTGAAAAATAAACAGTTGGTTTAAATTATTACTTTTCTCAAAGGTGAGTGTGAAAAAAGAACCTTGAAGGACCAAATGGTTCCTTGTTGACAGTATGCTGTGTTACAGTGGTGTCATCCGTACCAGTAGAAGCTTTTATGACAACATCTGAGAAGTCTGCATATTTCAAATGATTATAAAATATATGTTGTAGTTGTGTAATATAAAATATAGAGCCAGTAATTAATGATTTGTTGTTTTTTTACAATGTATTATAACTTGTCCTTACAGATACTTCATTATTTTATATTCACTGATGTATTTATCCCCTGTTCTTCCTATTGTTTTGCAATTCAACCCATCCCACCGAACACATCTAAAGTAACAGTTTCCTGATTAAAATCCTGTCATATTATAGGTATAGAACTGATTTTGGGTGTACTTTTAAACACCTGCATAAGGCTTACAAGCATAGAATTAGCTTCACGTGTAGTAGTAACAAAGACACTTTACTAAATATTTAGGAACTGTAATTATTTTTATTGTATGGCAAACTTTGTTCCAAAAAAATATCAGTTGTCTTTATCATGATCCTCAGTTTTAAATTGAAATGTTTTTAATAAGGTATATTGTATAAATAAAATGCTTGTGGACTTACCAAAGAATCATATGGCCAGCGTTTTAGCTAAACATTTGTTTTATCTTGCCTAAAACCGAGTCCACAAGTGAAACAAAATTACATCTTTGTCTATATTGAGTGTTATGTAATGATTTCCAACCTTTTTTCATGCTATAAACTATCAAAATCTTTATAAAAATAAAACCCATATGGACTATAAAGAGTATAGCTACTCACATAAATCTTGTAGGTAGTACTGGATAAGAGTGTATATAGGCCTATACTACTAATGCAGATAGGAAGTACACAATGTAGTTAGTCAGAAAGAGTTATAGATATTTGTAATTATCACGTACTGTTTCTGTGAAACGGTTGAGAACTACTAGTTTAGTGTACTATAATTTGTACATGGCAATTGAAATATTACAAATGAATTTCTATATAAATGGTGACAGTATTTTTCATGGTTTTAGAAAACTATTCAATCCAAAAGCACAGTAAAATGTAATTTAGAATAACAACTAATCTTGGTGAAGTATTTTATTAACTCAAGAATTTAGTGGTAAGGTCTATGTGGGCTCCATCATTTTTATTAAAAAACAGACAAACCTAAACTAACTATACACCAAATAGTTTTCTGGGTTGACAACCTTGTTAAATACGCAGTCCCTTATAAGATTTGTGTCAGACAAGAAATTTAAACAATAAAAAAGCAGTAATATTGTAATTAACACTAGTTACTACTGGAAACTCTTTATTTATCTTACTTAGGAAAGTAGTGATTTGACTTTCTTTACAGGTGTTGTAACAAACAAAATATATAAGATTATTCAGTATGAATGTTATAAAAAATAAGTCAGTAATTTTGAGGGTTAATATCTGAAACTTTTATTATAAGTTATATTAGGTTATCAAGAAATTAATGTTGCATTTTGGAACGCTTTCATTAACCACCCCCTTAAAAATGTACATCACGTATAATAGTTAAAACGTCACATTAGTGTAGCCTATATAAAGTGTATTAGTATACTCTAATCACTTGTAGTGATGGTACACGACAGGACACACACTCTGCATGTAATGCTGTTTGAATACAAGAAGGGAAACAACGTCTCTGTAACAACAAAGAATATCAAAGAAGTTTATGGAAATGTTTTGAATGCTCGTAAGTGTCAAAGATGGTTCAGCAAATTTCATTCAGGTGACTTTAGTCTTAAAAACTGTCTTCAATAGCT